TTTTGATAAAAGTCTTTTTTGCGCATCTTTTATCTTGCTTTATTTATCTTACTAATTGATCCATAAGCAAAAACATAATTGAAGGCGTTAAAAGGTTGTTTAAGATATCTAGAAAAAAAACTTTATTCATGAGGGAGATTACAAGATCATTCCTAAAACACTATTACATGGTTTTCAATCTTGATCTTTTGTTCCCTTGTAAGTGTCCAGACACTCCTTGTAATCTTCATCCCACTCTTCATCTTCATCCTCTGCTGAAAACTTATTTTTCTCATTAACTCCACCTTATGTACCTTCATCTGCGGTTTTCTGAGCTTTTGCAAGTTCTTCAGCCTCCTTCTTTTGTTTCTTTCTCTCCTCTCGAACATCCTTTCTTAGTGAGTAGTGGATTTTTTTTCAAAATCCTTCTTCTCTGCTTTAAATGTTCTCTTCTTTCTTCCCATTCTCGTGATTCTTTTTAAGTTGTGTGTTTTGTTGTTGTGCTCTACATCTGCTTTTTTTAGAGTCTGGATAGAATATCCTCTATCTTGATTATTGTGTTCTTTGAGCCTTGTGCCTATGAATCTACTATTTCCTAGAATCTATGTAGTCAGAATCTAATTTTGACCACCTTGATAGTTGTGATTCGTATGCATGTCTATCATCGGTATCTGCATTTATTATCTTTTTGTTGATGACAAAATGGGGAAAAATTCATGGAAAAATTTAAGAAGGTTAAAAGTATTTTTTTTATGCTTTTAATTTACCTGAACCCTAAATTATTCATTATTTTGGGTAAATGCTTTCCACTGAACATATTATTTTTAAATGAGAAATTTAATTAACTTAGATAGGACTTAAAGGGAGTGCACAAACCTCAACTTAAGAACTATCAGACAAAAGGAAGAGCTTACAAACCTCAACCTAATGTTAGTTTCTGTTAATTATGTTATAAGGTTCGATTAACATAGATAAGAATATAAGAGGAGCTTACAAACCTCGTCTTAATGGATTATCAGGCTTAGGGGGATCTTACAAACTTCACCTTAAAGGATTGTCTAACTTAGGGGGCTTACAAACCTCAGAGTCTGATGTTAGACTGTCTTAATTAAATCATTAACCATTGTTCTTAAATACATTTGTTTGCCATCATCAAAAAGGGGGAGATTGTTGTAACAAGATTTTCTTATGTCCTTAAAAGATTTTGATGATAACAAAGTATTGAAAGAACAATAGAGTTTTCTAACATATGTTCAAGTGTGCGGGATCAAAAACTAAAGAATTCATCATTAATCATGTTGAAAGCATAATTAAAGAAGCAATACTCAAATTATGGTTGATTAGAATCTGAATATGTTCATTAGATTCTGAAGGCATCAGACTCTGGACTCGTGACCCAACTTCTAATGACATCTCAGTTTCTGAAGACGTGGAGAGAAGTTGATTCGTGCACTACACCAAAGGTGACTTTTCTTATCAGAGCCCCATATTTCTGGACAGAGTCAACTAGGGTTTAATTTTGCAAGGCTCAAGGATGGTGATATGACCTCTTCAGTTTGTACTACCTTTCGGTAGATACCTAGTTACTCAAAAGGTGTTATAGACAATGCTATTATTCAATGGACAAAGCTTCTAACCAAATGCAATCTCCAATGTCTCTCTTGGCATACTTCTTCACTAAGTTTATTGTTGTTCAAACCTCCAACGACTCTTTTTCTGTCTCTATGAAAGAAAGCTGAAGACTCAAATGAAGGTTACAACATCACAACATAAAGAAAGATCTTAGCATAACTCTGAGTTATTATTGTAACTATTATAGCATAAGATCTTAAGATTTATTATATTAGATTTATCTTAGAAATCTTAGAAAGGTTATAAACATTTGCGATTGTTCCACAATTGTTATACTTTTGATTATGTATCAAAGTATAGTAGTTATCTTGTATACTAAACAGTTTGTTTAAAGTAGAAGAAGTCATTTGCATGCGTGCTTGAGAAAGGAAGTCTTAAACCGAGGGTTTAAGAAACAAGTCTCATTCAAAGTTGTTTGAGCAAAAAAGTTTTGAACCAAAGGGTTTAAGTAGGAAGTCTTTAGTAGTGGCTTAAGCAAGGAAGTCTCATTCAGAGTTGATTGAGTAGGAAGTCTTAAGCAATGACTTAAGCATTTGTAATCAGTTTTGTTATAATGAAAAGCTCTTGTTGAGGCAATGGGACTGGACTATTCTTAGTTGATGAGAGGAACCAGGATAACTTTTGTGTGTTGATTGCATTTACTTTTGAACTTTATTTTTCGGCTATTATATATTCTGTCAACAGAATCTGAACCTCTAAGTTCAGAAGCGGAACGATTTTTTTAAATCACACAATTCAACCCTCCATTATGGTGTATTTTTCTCACATTCAAAATTGACATCACTGTCGATTTCAAGTCAATGTGGACATTGTTGTAATATGCCTTAAAATCTCAAGTGAGAAAAGAGAAGGAAAAAGAATTAGAGAGTTTCTCTCTCCACCGTATGTAGATCATTTGATGCAATTGGATAAACAAACATTTTTGTGTTTCTCGCCTTCGTTTATCTTCTCTTGTCAAGTTAACTCATTATTTGTCGATTATTATTTTTGAAGACCATTTATTTTGATTGTCATTGTTTTTTATTTTCACATATCAAATTTGTTGGTGTGAATTAAACCTTAAATTTTTCATGAAAAGTAAGTGTGACCTAAAGAAGGGATAAGTTTGTATTTTTTTAATTAAATAAATTATTGTTTGTTAATTTTAAATCCGTACCCTTAAAAGGGGGACACAAAATTATCAAAAAAATGTGGAGTATACATTTATGGTATAAAATACACTGTAAATGTAAAATTGAGTGTCGAATGAGCATTTCTCATAAACATATAAAACATATGCTAAATGGAGCATTCCTAAATTCAATATTAATTGGTCAACTAAATGATAGATATTGTCTAATACTAATCCACCTCATCCTTACTATTGTTATTTCAAAGTATTATCTATATTAATGTCTTAGAAAACTACCTATATAACTACCTATAATCGATTTTTTTTTAAGAAAAAAACTACCAATATGTATAAATTTTGTAAATTTACAAGATTCACTTTATAAAAATCTTAAATCCTAACTTTTTTAAAATATTGACTTATAAATATAACTATTTATTTATATTAATGCATATATAAATATTGCTATTAATAATTCAACTCTAAATCATCAATTATAATAATGTTACTCCCACTAACCCATAAGTTCTAAACTGATCATGATTATTGTTCTTATTTGATACCATCTAAAAAAGAGAAGAAAAAACAATTCTTTATTTATATTTTTGAAATATTCAAAAATCATAGTATTCATTTCCAAACCTACATTTTAAAAAAAATATCTTCATATCCAAATCTATACTTACGTGGATATAACATTTGTATTCGTAGTCGTATCTTATATGTTTATCCGCATTTATAATAAAAAATTATGAATCAATTATAATTTATCATATTATTTTAATTTTCTAACAATTTTTAGAAAATTATGGGAATGATATCGTTGAGTTAAGAAATAAACAAATATCTAAAGTAAAATGTGTAAAAATTCAATAGTGATATATTTAATAAAATTGATAAATTAATATGTATATGTAATAATAAAAATAAAAATATAAAAATATATATTGTAGGAAGATGGAATAAACTAGATATTAAAATATCTGTATCCGCATCTATATCCACTTATTTTAATAAATAATTGTTTGCGTCCGTACATATATCTATTATTTTTTTCGAATTTTTTACTAAAAATGAGTTCAATTGTCATGGATCAAATAACCATCTCTATTGCAGCTTGTTGTTGATACCACCGTGTTGCATATATACGTTTTAATTTTTGCATTTGAGTATTGTATTTTAGAAGCTTTTGATTCAAAATAAAAGCTTTAAAATAATTGTATTTTCAAAAGTAATTTTTATTATTTTTTAAATATTAAAAAAAGTTAATTTATTTTTTATAAATTATAAATTAATTTTAATATTCAATAACATAAATATACATTATGACGGATTAAAATATAGTCGAAGTTACATATTTTAAAAAATAATATTTTCAATATAATTTTTATAAAAAACTATATTTAAGAAATATCTAAAATAATATTTTATGAAAAATTATAAAATCCAATTTATTTAAAGTATTCCTTAAAAATTTTGTTGTGAATCTTTTTTTAAACAAAATATGCAATTCTGTAAATCATTTAAAAATACTGAAACAAATAACTCAAGTTTCAGTGAATAGAGAAAAATGGATTATGTAACTCGTTGCAAATTTTTTTTTTTTTTAAATCTTGGATCCAGCAATTATTGCACCATTGCAATGCAATTATTACTGTTGTGTATCAGATGCCTTTAAACAAAGTATAAACAGTTTCTTATTGATCAAGAAACACACAAGGGTTAGGGTTAACAAAGAAGACAAGGTAAAATAACAAGGAACAACTTTCTCTTAGAACAAGATTACAAGTATACAAGAATAACAAAATAACCTCTCTCCCTTGAAATTAGAATTTTATCTTCCTATTTTTCCTTATGCCAAGATTGAGAAACTAGTATCCTATTTATAATAAAATAGCACACTAACCTAATGGGCTTATTAACAATTACACATTACAAGCTAACTTAGAGTATAAGCTAACTTAAACAATTGGGCTTACAAGCAAGACCCAATTCAACATGCTAACAACCCTAGCAATATTGACTAATGCATGTTAAAACAGACTTCGACTACAACATGCATTACTCGCGAACAGACTTCGACCATACTAGAGTTCGACCCAATATTTCACAATTACCAAATTGATTTACATGATATGCATCTTACTGGGACCATGATCCAATGCAAAGAATTAAAATCCTAATAAAACTAGAAGGTACCATAGTTTTAACCTAAAAAATGAAGTCAAGAAAAAAGAGGGAAAAAAGAGAAATATAAATGTATCTGAAATACTATCATTTAATGTTCTAGTTTAACTCTCAAATCTCCATTGGGCAATACGCTTTGTGCCTCCACCAAACGCTTCAACTCCTAAATAGATGCAATAAGACCAAGATTAGTGTTAATAAAAAAGTAACAAAACAAATCTTATAATTGTCTCAAGGTCTTAATTTGGTCAGAGTTATATTCCTTTTGTTTGATTTGCCATGAATTCCATAAAACAAAAATGAATGTCGTAAATTTCATATAGCATTTCTAGTGGTACACATCAAGCACTAAACAGAGTAGGAGTATAATGGATACCAAGATTTTCCCAAAGTAAATAAAATATTTTATCTTGCTTGTATCTTTTGGTGTCATTTAAGAAACTTGAAGGCAAAATGGTGAGAATTCAAAGAGAACTAATTAGGTATGAAGAAGAAGAGGAGGTTTGTTAACCTATTGCTGTCATCTGCCCAATATGGGGCTTAGATGAATACCTAGAAACACAGATTCTGCAATGACATTGCATGTAATTCGCTGCAGATTTCAGCAAAACTTGTCTACACAAAGACCATGTTATATTGTCAATAGCATGCTATAGCAGAATAGCGTAGAAGTGATGGGGTTCGGCGGGATGCTATTGGTCCGCGATCCGCTGCCCATGATAGCAGTTGTAGCGAGCACTAATTGCAGCCCCAAACCACTATCACGACCACTATTAGGATTTTGGGAATAAATACCTCAATTTTATTTTAATTGTTTTCTTTTTTAAGTGTATAAATTTCAACCCAAACCTTTGAATTGTAACGTTATGTTATTGATCACAAATAATCTTACTGCTCTTCATCCTACTCTTAGTTCTTCTTCTCTGCTGAAGTTTTATTACTCTATACTTTAGGTTCTTTAACTACTGAATATGATATATCTCTCTTTGTGTATTAATCTATTTTTAAGTATTTATGCTTACTTTAGTATTTGCAAGACCGGTATCTAATTATCCGCTATACCATAGAGACCAAGATTACAAAAGTAGGAGAAATGTTAAGTCATGTATTTCAAAGGGATGGGGGCATGATTGTTTTTAAGATACACGGCGGAAAGGTTACAACTTCACAAGTATAATTAACCGTAACACCTTGTCACTTCAATAGACTAAATAGTTACTCAATACAAATTTATGCTTAAGTTACATCTAGTTCTACATTTTGAAGGTTAAAACAGCTGATGGCTACAAAGAACATAGGAAAAGAAAGGTTTGGAAAGTTTCCTCTGTGGGAAGGGTATCTCCAATCAACAGTAAAGAAGTTGATGTGTTAAGTAACAGAGAAGTGCAAGAAAAATAACTTGTGCTTCAATTGTGATGAAAAATATGCATTGGAAGATAAAAGCAAAAGAAGAAAGTGAATTATCAGTGAGAATTTGGAGAAAAAGGAAACAAATTGCAATGCATGGAAGAAAGAACTCCTCTATCTCTAAAGCTTTATAAATGATAAACTTACTGCAGCAGACGCAGCACGACTTTCTCTAAATGTCTCAACCTCATCAGGGAAGTTTTGCTCCAATTCCTCAAATAGATGCTTGCGCAAATTCTGCCACAAACAACAACGATAAGTTGGACTAAAGCAGCTCAATAAATATATGGAAAGACAACAAAAAGAGCAGGCTTATCAAATAAAAATCAAGAGTCATAATCAACCTTAAAAGCATCAGTTTTTCCTTTTGTGATCTGATTCTTTGCAATACAGTTGTTTATAACATCTCTGGTAAACTCATCTGGATTCTTCCCATCATCAATTAAACTAAAACCAAAAATAAGTAACAGATAAAAAAACATATTATGTGGTTTAAAGAAAAACATACCAGCACATAAAATACAAGCACATAAAAAAGATAAATGTCTTACTTTACCACCTCCATAGGAACCTCAATGTTGCAATTTTCGGCCAATTTGACCATGTGGTCAAGCTCTGCAACAAGACCATTGCTGGAAGAAAAAATTAGTCAAAATATCATAAACTTGGGAAATGGACAAAAAGTTTTTAAAAAAAAAGAAATATAGGGAAGGGATCGAGAGAAATACATGCGTTGGAGGAGTGGCATTTGCAACGCAGCACTGAAGTTAGAGACAGTAAGGGTAAGCTGATGGATAAGGCCCAAGGTTTTCTCAATGGACTTGTTGATCTGCTTCAGGTTTTGCATAGAATCATCAGCTCCTGCCGCAGAAGCTGCAGTATTGTTAGTTTGAGAGATTGGTGTCCCATTCCCCCCAACAGATGGACTTTGTGATGAATCCATTTGTGTTTCTCAGTAAACTGGAACGTTTTTTAAAACATTCATTATAGAATGAAAAAAAGCTAACAAAAGCAAGAGACTATATAATATTCTGTAGCCTGCAGACTACCGAGCAATTTCCTTCAAAGTCATTTATATGGAGCTATGGTACAAATGTAAATACAATGCAAACTCTAACATGTTTAAACGATAATAACAAAGGGTGAGGATTCGAGAACAAGGAACTGTTTATGCATACAACAAGTTTAACTAAAAATAATTAAAACAAATTTTTTATATAAAATAATACTACCGAAAATTGTTATTTTAAGTACTTTTTCAGTAGCTAAAAAGAGTACTTTTAAATATATATGTATGTGCACGTATGTGTGGATATGTGTGGATATGCGCGCGTGTGAATATGTGCGCGCGTGTGTTCACGCGCTTGCAGTCGCACTTGCGTGTGGATGTATGTGTGTCAAAGTTTCCTTTCTTGATGGATTCCCTTCCTTTCAATTTCAGTCATGTCAAAGTATTATTGAATCAAAAACATTACCAGTAGTATATCTGAATTAAGTTATCTAAATCAAAGAATATGAACTTCACACTATAAATAATTTTCATATGATTTGAATAACTTATTGCATTGCATTACTAGATACTACTAAGATTATATCCATATACTAATCATTGTTTATTAATGTTATCATCTAATATGAACAGAACCATATATGAAAGAACACTGCAACCGATTTCTCTGAATCAACCTATTGCATACCAAATTCCTAACTTATCAACTTGAACCGCTTAAGCTTGCGATCGTGGAGTCACTGTACGATGCAATTTAATGACTGGTGCGTTTTCTTGCAGGAGCGGTAATCGCAGCCACAAATTGCGACCGAATCGCATGATGCGCAACATGAAAAGAGAGGGTAAAATCGGGAAAAGAATAAAAGAGGAAAACCTGAACGGAGCTTCTCGGTGTTTCTAGCGGCCAACGACCAATCCCGGTGGAGTTTTCCGGCGAGTTGAATTCTATAGGACTCAGTCGAATGATGTAAAAGACGCGGCTAACTCGGTTATGAATAGTTATGTGCCTAGAGACTAGAGTTTGGTTGAGGTATTTATTTATCCACCCTCCCATCATTCAGTATAAGATTTTTAGTAATTAATATAAATATTTAATTTATCAGTTTTATATATGAATCAAATAAACTTTTATAACAAAACAAAGTTATTGAATTAGAACAAAACAATGTCACGACAATCCACTTTTGTATGTCTTTACAATTAAATAAAACTGCACTGCCTTCAATTTAAAGTTATAGTTTGATTCTTTGGCATCATAATCACCTAGCAACAAAATATATATTTCTCTTTTAAATTTGTAGGTTTGTCTTTTATTATTTACAATTCAGTAATTAATTAATTAATTAATTAATTAAATTCCTTTAAATTCTTTTTTTCTCACTAAAACTAGATTTGTCACGCAGAATTTATATCGTCTCATATTTTTTATGATTAAATTATGATAAAAAAAACTTTATATATATATTATATGATTAAATATAAATTTTTAAAAAATTTTACAATTTAACTAAAATTAACTTCAACTTTGTAAATACAAATTTCAGACAACTTTATCTATAATAAATTAATTTTTTTCTATTTTTCATTTTTTTGAATTATAGACTATAGTCATATTTTATACTTCATGATTGTGATAATAATTGTGATAAGAATCAAGAAGTATAACTAACTCATGGGACCACTCATTTTTTTGGATTAGAGTTATATTATAAACTTCAGTGACAAGAATTAAAAGTATAACTAAGTCATGGGACAATCAAGTCTCTTCTTCTCTCTCTCAATCATTTCTCTATTTTTTTCTAATTTTTATTCTCTAATATAATTGTTTGCTAGTTTACAGATTTTTGAGAATTTTTTTTTTAATATAACCACTAATTTCAAAAAAAAATTTTAATAAAATAAGATTTCAAATAATTTTTTAAAGTGGTTATAATTCAACTTTAGGTTGTCAAATTAGTTGGCGAATGCACTCTATTCAAACAATATCGTCATGCCAATTGAGGAATTGGTTTAAGGCCTTCAACAGATTCGCCAATACAATTGGCGAATCAGACCTGTGTATTTTTTTTTTTCTGTTTTTAATTTTTATTATTTTCCTTTTTTTATTTGTTTTTAAATTCATAATTTATATAAAAACTTTTCATTTTACAAATTCACATTGTATTTAAATTCTTTTTATTTTATTTGTTTATTATTTTAATATTTTTTGTTTTTTATAATTTATATAAAAACTTTTTTATTTAATTAAAAATATTTTTATATCTTTTGTTTTTTATAATTGATATAAAAAAATGGATAGAATTTAAATAATCTAAATAATCTAAAAAAATAAATGGAAGAAATATTAAAATATAGTAATTTACAATAGAATATAAATTACAATAGAAAAAAAAACTAATGGACGGCTCTATCCAAATGATCACCGGTGCCACATTGTGGAGGATGCGCGCGGCGACGAGGTCTACCACGAGGTTGTTGAGGTGTGTCCGGTCTCTGGGTGTTGAGTTGTGGAAGAGGTATTTGTTGGGACGGCCCCGGCGTATCCGATAAATTTTGAAGCATTTGACCCCAATAGCCGGGAGGTCCACTACCAACGGCGCTTCCGTAGTTAAGCCCAATGCCCATGTGTTTGTAGGATTGTCGGGGAGGTTGGGTGGAGTATGGACGGTATGGTTGTCTGAATTCGTACATCGAATCAGGTTGGAAAGGGTGTGTTGGTTGTTGCGTGGTTTGGTAGTCAAACAGTGGATAGGTGGAAGGGTAGGGTCAAATGAGTTATTTGGGCTATAGGTGGAAGGGGTAGGGTCAAAAGACGTATCAGGGCTGTATTGGTAAGCTTGTTGTTGTTGTGATTGGGTTGGTAGCATGTACGGGTCATGGTAATGTTGTTGTTGATGTTGGGCATTTGGTGGCATGTATGGGTTATGGTAAGGTTGTTGTTGTGGATGTTGGGCATTGAATTGTTGTTGTGTGTTTGAGGAAAAAACATGTTGCCTTGGGTCAATCAAATAGGTTGGCTCAGACAGAAATGGTTGTAATGTTGTAACCGACCTAAACCAAGTCATATATTGATAACTTGACCTAGCCTCTTCCACAATATGGTCGATTAAGATGTGTTGCCTTCTATTCTTCCAATGCTGACACATCTCCTTTGCAAACTCCTTCCAATGACCGACATTCCACTATGAGTCCACCTGTTGCCGATGCCATTGTCCCAATAACGTCGGAGCATCTGGAATATCCTGATGCATCCCAAACTGTAGCTTCACCCGGTCACTTTGGTGCATCTCCACCGTAGTGAACCTAATTATGGGTGTTTTGGATGTCCACACAGCAGCATCATCGGCGTCGGGTTGGTGGTCGAGACCCTCGTACGGCATCTGATCGCGACTTTCTATGTCTAACAAATCTAACTGCAAGTGCACAGTCTATCGCGTAGTAATAAAAGATATCGATCCCACAGGGACTCGTAATCAATCTAGTATTCTCTGGGGTTACTATGTTTAGCTAGGTCGGTAAGGTTTTAGGGAGTAATAGCAGAAGGAACGTGTGTAAAAAAAGAGGAAACTAAAACGTTAAATAAGGTATGAATTTATGAATCGATATGCAATAATTTTGTTCTTCGGGGATCCGACAAATTACTGGCGTATTAAGTGTTTTCAAACTTAGTTTAAGAAGAAGATAATGATCTAAAGACTTTTGTCTCACGATGGTTGTTGACGCTAGTCGCAACTCTAAGGCGGAACGTATGTTGTCGCTATCCCGTTCGGGGTTAAAGTTACTTTTTGAAAATCTCTAAGTTCTAATCCTTTTTAAAGCGCTTTCGCTGTTTTTAAATCGAATGCCTAGTTTTTACTATCTGGTCTTAGCCGCAGTTGTCGCTTGTTGGTTCGTACCTTAGTTAATTTCCCACTGTCGTGGCAAAACTATTTTTAAATAAGTTCTCGCTGTCGCGACGAACGTTTACTTAGAAATTTTAATTAAAAACTAAAACCATAAATGAGTTTTGAAAAGAGAAAGATTACGCCAATTATTATCAAATCCCGTCCGAATTATTATTACATATCGACTACGGTAATTTAGCTAGACATGGAAGAAGAATTGATAATGCATAAATAAAAGCAGTAATTGAGAACATACATCATAATGAAAATTGCAATTACGATTAAAATAAAAACCTGGAAATATCCCAATTGGCTTTTGGGCAGATCCTCCACAATGTCGGCAGGATTCTGGTCTTTGTGCCAATTGATCGTACAAGAAAAGGAAAGTACAAAAATACCAAAGAATATAGAGAATAAAAAGAGAAACAAATAAGAATATGAGAAAGGTAAAGTTGCTCTGAAGATAAATTGGCAGCACTTCGTTGTCTTGAATGCGGCTCCCTTTTTCAGATCCCAGCCTCTTCCTTTTATAGAGAGAGTATTTAACGGTTATTTCTTCAAGAAGTGGGCTTGAGGCAGAAAAGTAGGAGTTAGTGGTCACTCTTTTGGTCTTTGAGGGGAAGTTATAGCACGTGACCTCATTTTGCACGTTTTGGGTGCATGACGGTCGTCATGGATGTGTGACGGTCGTCACACGCATGACGAGCGTAACGGCTATGTGACGGTCGTCACATCAGTAGAACTCGTATCTGCTGTTTTTCTCTTGGTTTTTCATCTGGTTTTCACCTGTTTTTGCTCCTTTTCTTCATATTGCTTTGCTTGGACATGTTCTTTGAACACCTGCAAAATACTTAGACAAATAACATGGAATGCCCCGAATTCGGAGTGAAACCAGTCAAATATTAGTTAAAACACATGTCATTTTATATATATGATTTCGCGTTATCAAACTCCCCTAAACTTGAATCTTTGCTTGTCCTCAAGTAAAGGTAGGAAAAAATTTAAAGTTCGGCAAGCACGCGGCACACTCTTCCCTTTATCAGATTTTCT